GATGCAAGTCAAAGAAAATATTTTGGAAGCTGCAAGGAAAAGAAGAGATATGTGGGGCGAAGCTGTAAGTATGCGCATCACAAATGTTGCGGATTTAGTTGCAGCCGAGGGTCGATACCACGATTCATGTATGCGAAAATTTTTTCATTCTTTGAAAACATACGAGGTTTCCGGACGACCTGAAACCAAATATGCAAAAACGGTCATTGATTTTATTTCTTCGTTTCTCGAAGAACATCGAGATGAATGCCAGTTTTCGTTAACTGAAATTTTAAAAGAGTATAAAGGCGTCATCCCTACAAATGATACGCTTAAAAAAAAGTTGCAAGAAAAGTATGGTGATGATATTATTCTTACTACAAAGCAAAACCGAGAATTCATTTTAAGCTTCCGTGACACAGGCCATAAAATTCTGACAAGTAACTGGTATGAAAAGCAAAATTCGGACATAAAAGAAGAGCGCCTAAGAATAGTGAAAGCAGCTGCGGAAATTATAACAGAAGACATTAGATCTCAGATGTATGAAACAAATAATTACCCTCCCTGTGATGCCTTTCTAAAAAGAACGTTGAAAGCGACATACCAAGCACTCTACAACTTCTTCTAAATTCAATCATTATGAAGAACAAACGCGGAAGTCAAGAGAAGTGGAACACGAAGGTCATTTCGATTGCGCATGCAATTATAACAGCATGTAGGACGAAATCTTTTTTATCACCTTTACAAATTGGCCTTGCGGCATTCGTTTGTCAAAAATTTGGTTCTAAAGATCTCTTGAATATTCTATCGGCTTTGGGATTTTGCGCCACATACGACGAAGCTAAGCTATTCGAAGCATCATCGCTGATACAATCGCAACCATCGGTAATGCAACACTCTTTTTCTCAATTCGTGTTTGATAACGCAGATCATAATGTTAATACCATAGATGGTTTTCAAACTTTTCACGCGATGGGAGGAATACAATGCATTACACCCACTACTTCTGTTTCTTCCAACGAAATCATCCCAAGGTTAAAAAAATTTCATCTGCATGCAGAATTGGAACCTTTGGACATGTACCTTTGAAAACTTTTCAAAAAGCAACAAATTTGGACTAGCTAATATAATAGTTGAAGATTTAAGCAAGAAGAATCCAGTTCCTAGTGAGGTCACGCTGACGCCTTGCGATTTTGCATGGATCTACGGTAAATGGAAAAATATGCTTCATATTGCAGGCTGGAATGGGTGCATGGAACTGGCGACTTCAAACAAGACGTATTCAAAATCACGCATCTTGTATCTCCCATTTGTCAATGCTCCTCCAAGCAATTACGACACAGTATATACTGTACTTACAACTGCAGCTGAAAAATGCAAGTCGTTACAACAAGACAACTGTTTTGTTACATTTGATCAGCCACTTTAAATAAAAGCTTGCGATATAATATCTTCGTGTCCTGAAAACTCCGACTTAAGTACAATAATTGTGAGACTTGGCGGTTTCCATCTTTTGATGTCTTTCATGGGCTGTATCGGTTATATCATGGACGGAAGTGGTTTAAAGGAGCTTTTTAGTGTTGTGTATGCAGCTGCATCTGTTGACAAAATGTTAACCGGCCATGCTTATGCAAGGGCACTCAGAGGTCACGTGTTAGTACACCTAGCTTTAGCCAAGATTGTCTTGTCTACATTGCATTTTACACTAGAAGAGGAATCGGTAATGGAAAAAGCGATCCTTGAAGTTGGCGGTCAATCATTCTTCGAGAGCATTGAACAAGAAGCTTTCAAGGGCATAATAAACAAGTTTAAAATACATCTGAATAAGCTTGCAGGAAACGGAGCAACAGCAAAACTTTGAGTTCAGTATTTCAAAATGGTGACCTTGATAAAGTAGTTTATTCAAGCAGAGAGGATGGAAAATTGGCAATTACATCTTCAATGCATACAACAAATGTTGCCGTATTTCCATGCCAGTGGTCACTTTTTATATGCTAAGTCATGCCAGTTGTATCTGGAAGATATGTTGGATCTCAAATCCAAACTGAGTCCCTTGGAGTATAACCAATTTGTCACAAACGGTTATTTTACCATCAGGCGATCTGATAAATTCTGGTCTGGAATTTGGACTGATATGACAATTGAACAAACTCTAAGGAGGTCTATGAAAAGTGCTGGTGGGCTGACTCGCGGACGAGGCATCACAGACAGTGTTTTAACAAAGTGGATCCTTGCAATGCCAATCCTTCTTGATATTAAAGATAAAATTGAAGAATTTTGTCATATAGCGTTTGTTACATCGGAACAACACGTGGGTGCTAGACTCTCGCGCATATCAAGGGGCAATGGATATGTTGAAAAATTTATGGGTTGGTTTTCACATCATCCTCCTTTTCCACTTGTCAACGATATTATGTCAATAAGTACTGGAGTGAAGGGAGATGTAAAAATCGATTGTCACAATGCTTACGAAATTGGAATGTCTTTAATGACACAAATCGTTGGCAACAATTTTAGTCAAATTAAATTTCAAAGGAAAAAGCGAGTTGTCCCTCTCCGAGCAGCAAATTCATCAATAAAAATTCAAGACGAAATCGTTCCAATTGATCCGAACACACTTTTTCAAAGAATTTCGTTGGCCAAAAAATCTGATTAACATTTACAACAATACTTGCAGTACGAACTGGCTCCCTTTCCTCTCTCACTTTTCAATGAATCAGGGATGCGAAAGACAAAGAAATCGGGTTTATACGAAGCATTCTCTTCTGTGACTGATGTAATTAATTTCGGAAATTTTGTGCACGTTATAGACGGTGGGTATCTTCTTCATCGAATTGCATGGCGTCAGCAAGAAACTTTCGCGCAAATATTGGACAAGTATGTTGATTATGTAAAGAAGTATTACAAATCAAATAGCTTTGTCATTTTCGATGGATATCCGGATGAAGCACGCCTTCAAAGCACAAAAAGTGCCGAACGTCTCCGACGATCGAATATACATGTTTCTGCGAGCGTACTTTTCAATGAATCTATGATAGCTACCATGCCCCAAGAAAAATTTTTATCAAATAAAAAAAATAAGGACAGACTTATCTCAATATTGTGTGAAAAACTTCAAACTGCAGGATTTATTATCAAGCAAGCTGTTGAAGATGCTGACACTCTTATTATCAATACTGCGATTGATGCATTGAAGGATTACGATTCCGTAGTAATAGTTGGCGAAGATGTTGATCTTTTAGTGATACTAACAGCCTTAGCATCATCTAAATCCAGCATCTATTTCATGAAACCGAGCAAGGGAAAAACAGACCAGAAGATTAATTCATCTACTTCCTTTCAATATCCTGATATTGTTGACCATATTCTCTTTCTTCACGCATTCACTGGTTGCGACACCACTTCAACATTTTTCAGGCAGGGTAAAATAAAATTTATTAAACTGTTCCAAAGAGATGACAATTTGCAGAATATTTCAAAAATTTTTGGAGATCCGGATGCTCATCCAGATTTCATTGACATAGCAGGACAAAAATGTATTCTTGCTTTATACGGAGCAAAGAGCAATTGTTTTCTGAATGAATTTCGATTTTCATGCTTCGCCAAATCTGCATCGAAAGTAATGTTCAACCTTGCTTCTATGCCACCTACTGAAGCAGCTGCACGTCAACACTCTCTCAGAGTTTACCATCAGATTCAACTGTGGCGCGGAATTGAAAAAAATCCTCAAGATTGGGGCTGAAAATATACGAAAAATGGTTTACTTCCAGTTCCTTCAATGAGAGAAGCCGCTCCGCACGATATTCTGAATAAGATCTTCTGCAAATGCACAAAAGGCTGCAAAGCGAATTGCAGTTGCAGAAAAGCTGGATTGCGATGCTCTGCGATTTGTTTCAACTGTCGGGGTCAAGCATGCACAAACATCGACATTATAATGGATAACTGTGACTACGATGAAGAAATCGACATAACATTTCAGCATTTTGAGGAAACATTGATCGATCCTGACAAAGAGATTGATTCGAACAACGAGGAAGAAACAGAGGAAGCGGAGGAAGGACAAGATAATGTTAAGGAAAAGGAAGATGATGTGGCAGGTGACCTTTGTCAATCCTCCACTTAAAAAAAAACAAGATTTGAGTAATTAAGACAAGTGGATTAGGCCTACAGGGGATACCACATAAAAAAACGCGCCAATAACTCTACCGCAAGGTGGTGTGAAAACGGGTTCAAAAGTACACTACAGCTTCTAAGAAGTGAGATACAGCGAAATAAAGTCGCTAAAATCGTTTGTTGCAAAAAGTACCCGAATTCTCCCAATTCTAGCGCCAAAATGATTAGTCGTAGGAAAAAAACCTATATTACCTTTTTTACCTTTTTTTTAATTTTCTACAATATTGTATAGAACTATTTTTAGCCTAAGTCTAATGGAAACTGAGATATTCGCGAAAAACCGATTTTTCACCCCTTTCTTCCAAAATGGCGGCTGAAGCACATCACGGGGGAGGTCGGAAACTTAGTATGTCATTACTGACGCCCAAACAAAACGATTAAAATTTATTCCAGCTTTGTCCTAATTATTCGATAATTGAATGTACTTGCCGACTGGACTATATATGGTGGGATGGGACCCGAGCGGAATCGAACCTGGGACCTGACACTTGTCAGCCGGCGACTCAACGCTCTAAGCCACTCATCGCCCCGATTAATTATACTTATTGAACACATTAATAAAAAAAATGTTTAAAAAAAGAAAAAGTACTTCCGACTGCTGCCAACAAAAGTACAACGTTAAAATAATTATAACATAAAAAAAGGAAATAAAATAATTATAATATAAAAAAAATAAAATATACATAAGCTATAAAAAATATTTCATATAAACATAAAATTTAAAATATAAACAAATATAAAATTTCAAATATAAATATATTTTTGATTTATCTTCTTTCCTTTTGAAATCCTTCTGCTTTATTTTTTTGATTGTATGTACTAGAGTCTTAATATATTGCTTATTATATTCATTGATGTCCATCCATTTTTCTATTCTTTGTCTTCACAGATAAGGCGCAACATTGCTGCCAATATGCACATAATAAGTGCGGCGCAATCATGCTGCCAATACGTGTAGTGCAACCATGTTGCTCATTCTTCTTTTTGCTCATGTTGCCCTCATATTTCTTCATCCTATATATATGCACAAGTTTTAATTATTATTACGATATAAAACATGTAATACAAAATATATTATATGATAATGAGGAAAAATAATAAATTATTATATACTTATCATGTAACTCCAATGTATCTTTTATTCTTCCAAGTATTTCCGCTGCAATTTTTTTAATTAATAACATGATATAATCACAAGAGAGAAAGAGAGAGAGAGAGAGAGGGAAAGAGAGAGAGAGAGAGAGAGAGAGAGAGAGAGAGAGAGAGAGACTGAAATAATAATATCTAAATTCAAAGATATAAACTTTTACGTTACCATAATTATAGCTATGCAGACAAATATATAAACTGCTTAGCCATAATTATAGCTACGCATACAAATATATAATTTGTGTAGCCATTATAACTACGCAGATAAATATATAAACTATGTAGCCATAGTTATAGCTATACAGACAAATATATAATAATTATAACTATGCAGATATATAAATAAACTGCGTAGCCATAATTGTAGCTATGTAGACAAATATATATTAGGTGTACAAATAAGTTTCCGCCGTTTGACAAAAGGTATATATGTATGTATATGCAGGGTGTCCTAAAACTACCGTATTTCCTCTTAATGGCAGATTCCTTAGAACATTTCAAGACGAAAATCCTAATACAGAAATGTCGAGACTATAATAATTTTTAAACGGGAAGCAATTATATTTTACGAATGACAGGGCTGAAATTTCTCGCGCTCAGGCATGGCGAAATAACAAATGAAAAAAATGCTCTATGAATGGGAGGCCCTTTTTATGATATTATGATTATCGTATAAATTTACAATAGCATTGTCATTATATGTTTTCCCGCTTTTCTACGTATTGCATTAGTGCATTCTTTTTACGAATAATGGATGCAAGAACTAAAGGCATTTAAAAAATGATTCAAATAAAAATTTGTGACATGTTTCAACTTCAGCTATCAAAGTGGTCGATCAATGTTACCATGAGGGTGTCTACTATTTTACCGTCCCTGAGCGCGCGAAATCTCAGCCCTGTCATTCGTAAAATATAATCGCCTCCCATTTAAAAACTATTATAGTTTCGACATTTTTGTATTAGGATTTTCGTCTTGAAATTTTCTAAGGAATCTATCATTAAGAGAAAATACGGTAGTTTTAGGACACCCTATATATAATTGTTGTTTTATTAATTAAATAATGAATAATTATATATGTATGTATATAATTAATTAAATGTATGTATATTATTAATTAAATGAATTAATTAAATAATGAAAAAGTAAAACTTGCTTGTCTAATAAGAACATTCATTTCTTGAGATATATCCATTTGTAATAACTTGATAACAATAATTTTAAATTTGACAACAATAATTGTTGATACTTGACACATGTGACAGATTGTGTCTAACCTATTATTCCCGCCACCATCACTTTGAGATGTCTTAAGTAAGTTATTAAAATTCCCTATACGGATGCTCAGAACGAATCTTATTGGTGAATCGTTTTGCTTCTTATTGTTAGATACACTCGCCAGCCAATGAGAGGACGCGTAGACGAGACCATATTGTTTTTCCACTTTTTATTAACAGCATAAATAACGATAATTATACGTTTTAAACTTTCCTTGGTTAATAAGAAACTTATGAGCAAAAGATGATATCAAACTAAATCGAGAACTAAGACTACAACCGATCCGAGCTCGGTGAAACGCATACTCCCTCCGTTTTTTGCCAACCTGCGGTTGGCAGCCATCGGAAGTAAAAAAACAGAAATCATAGTAAGTACGATCAAAACTTTGAAAGTATTTATTCTTCGAAATTGATAATTAAATGAGCCGTAATACCTGAAGGATGCGTTTTTAGACTAACGTTTATGGAAACTTTTTTCATCCTTATGACGAGCCCGATAATATATACTTATATTATATATAAGTCTGTGGACGAGTCCAATTCCTGATTTTGATCAACTATTTCAGGACCACCCTATATACTCGCTTATCAGCCTGCTTTTATGCTCTCAATGCATTACAATAAAGTATAGAGAACTATGTTTTTACGCAAAATTGTTGCTGAGTAGAAATTTACGCGATTACAGTTTCCAAGTTTTTTTTTTATTCCCGCCACAATATCTTTTTATTATAGTAAAAGTTAGAGAGGGAATCGTGTTTGTTTCGATTATGTATGTTCAAATAGTATTGCATTTTATTTCATTTTTATATTACTCTTAATTAAATAATATAAATCTAAATAATCTATAAAAAAATGTAAACATATGTATATATTGCAGATAAATAATTTTTTGTATCATGCAAATTGGAAGATTAGTACAGAATTATGTGTGTCAAACGTAAGTATAATTCTGTCAGCAAATTTTTTTCCTCTCTCTTGATTTTAATATAATATTTATTTTATGAACAAATTTATATTTGATGATTTTTCATAACTAGTTTTTTTTTCATTTGCAGAGAATTTTATTGTAAAATATTATCTTACATACAAAAGAGAATTTTGAAGAGATTCTTTAGATATTTATTCACAATATTTTTCTAACAGTAATAAATTTATTTGCAAAGAGTTTAAATTATGTAATATTTTACTTGTTTTCTGCTTGTTTTTCAATCATAACACGTAAGGCGGATAAGTAGGATACTGCGGTCTTCAGAATATCTGTAAATGTGGCACGTGTGACATAGAAAAATTTCCCGGCAGTGAGACGTATAGGTATATTTGTTTTTATCATAATAAATGTTAGATCTCTTATGTCGTTAGTCGAAAAATCGCACCAATTGCTGTCGTAAACCGCGAAAGACAGGCCCTCACTTTGATCTCTCAAATTATCGCCTGCATACGAGTATAGAAAGGATTGCAGCAACATGACAATCATTATCACAATGCTCTTCGTTGTCATGATCGTGTCGTGAATATGCAAAGATTCGATGAGTCCAAAACCTTAAAAATCAATACGTTTTATTTCTTTAATGATCTTTCCCAGACTATAATTTTATCGTAAAATGCTATTCCGGCTAATATATACTACAATCTATAACATATAAATATAAAATTAAAAAGATGAAGAAAAAATTCTGTTTTTTGTAAATTTTCAGTAATAATTGGATCAATCTTGTTCAAGTTTATTTCTTTTACTAACTAATATATTTATGGATGGAGTTTATCGCAGTTTGTTTTTTCTTTGTATTCGCTTGTATCGCTTAGTAAAGCGATGGAAAGGGAGAAGTGTTTTACTTGCAAATATAGAAACTTGGACAAATTTGATTTATACTGCAAATGGCTCACTGCAGTATCTTAGTAATATATATGAAATGTTTTTATATAATAAAAAATTTTATAATAAAAAAATGTTATATACAAAAATCTAACTAGTTAACTTAGTTAATTAGGCACCTAAGTAAATTAATTATAATTAATTTCTTTTTTGCAAAACACGTATAATTATATAAATATATAATACACATTAACATAAATTCCAAATATTATCAGTGGCTCAATTTTTTTACACAAAAATTTCTCTTTTTATAATAAAGTAATTATTTATGTAACATGTAATTAGAGAAAATTAGATGTAAAATTTCTCAAACATCTTATATATATTTTGTTTTTACATTTTTTATGCATAAAATAATAATTAAAAAATTCAATTATAGAATTTATTATGAAATTTTATATCTTTATGAAAATATATTACAAATTTATTGTTGACAGATATCAATATATCTTGATATATTAATAAGTCTGAATCTAAATCTTCCTCTATGCATGAAATAATCATGGAAATGCCTCGCGGACTTACATACCTGTTATGCATATCAAAATAGCGCTAGTGAAGATCTGAGTCAAAATTATAATATTATAAGTATCTTCAATAGTCTCGATGAGCCGTATCAATTGCCGATGTCTGACTACGAGTTCTTCAACAACGTTGTCTCCTTTGCGCTTATGGTTGCACCGACCGATCTGCCGGAAGTCGATCATCAGGAGTTCGAGCTGGCCGCAGAGATGCAGCGTGATACCGATGAACATTCCCTCCGTACAACAGTTTCCGGCATATGTAATGAATAACTGAACTATCTGATAGAACGTAATGAGGACATACTGGATACTGGTGACAGATTCGAAGAGACAGGATGTCGGAAGATAAAATGTCCTCTCATTAGCAGTCACAACGGGTAAGAGGCGCAACATGTACAGCATAAAAGCGAAGAATCCGGAATAAAACAGGGACAATGATATTATTTTCGCCATGCGTGCGTGCTGGATCATAATTTCGCGCGATCTCGCATCCTCGACGCTGCACCAGTCCTGAATAGCGGAGAATAGATTGATCGACAGCGTGGATCGCTGCAGCCGCAGCAGGGTAAGTTTGACAATTACCAGCATCGCACTTGCGGTCACCACATACGTGTCAATCGGATCCCCAGAAGAATTCTCGCAGGCGAGGTAGACGTCCATTAGCAGTGTTATCACTAGCAAGATCTAAAATAACGGATTATTGCGGCTGATAAAAGCGTTATGTAAGATCTCTCGTTTTTTATTCTTATGTTCATAAATATAAAAAATAATTCTTTTGTTTCAACTAAATTATCATTTTTTTCTAAATTAATTATGTGTTTTACACAATACATTAAAGAGATTATCATATTCGCACAAACTCATGTGTGTATTGTATCTATGCGGCATAAATATTTTTAAAGATTATATTACTTTAAATTATATTAATTAATATCATATACTTGATTATCTCATTAATTTTAAAACAATACATAAAATAAAGATAAATGTTTTCCTCCCGTTACCTCGCTTACGATCGCAAACAACCATCGCAGCTTTGAATAGAGAGTGTCATCCTCAATTGGCCATGCTCCTACGGGCCATGCCAAAGTCTTGTAAGTCGATAATGCGTAAACAGCATCTTTGTTCCAATATACCATCCTCGAAACATATCACGAGACGATTCCGGATTGATCTCGTGTATGTACGTGTATGTATGTTTTTATTAGTGCATAGCAATGTAGTTAAGCATTAATAAAGAAAGAAAGAGAGAGAATCTCTTCATTAATCCATTTGCCACGCCGATAGTGCCTATAACGCCTGCGCTCATCTCTTCCTCATTCATCCTAGCTCTTCCGTATCCTAAAACTATCGATCTTTGCGAGAACATAGCAGCGTTGAACCACTCGTGCATGTAAAGTATATGCATGTTTTAAGCTGTCGAGCGAGTAGGTCGGCAAATTGCTCGATTATTGTATTATTGTCTATATGTCGCTTGAATTGTACGATGTGCATAAAAAATACTGACAAGGCAAAATTTGCAGTCCATGCAATTTATCAATTTTCCGAGAAACCTAGTGCATCACGTATGGGATGTATATATTATATATACATTCACAGTTTCGAAATAATGCGTACTTATGTATAAAGAGAGACTGAGTTGCAGACTGAGCTGCAGACCACTGAAAGTTTATGTTATAATGAAAAGCCCATATGATAAGTATACTTTAGCTTTCAGTAGAAATTTTTGATATGTCGATTTATATGAATAGCAATGCTGCTTGAACACAATTTATATTTCTTTTTATAAACGATAAAGCAACGTGTATCCGTTCTGCGTGCATTTTTTTGCAACGCCAACATATTGACATATCTTCGTGAGATCAAAACTAATTTAAGATGGAAAATGTAAGTATCTTTAAAATAAAATTTTATATTCCCTGATTATATATATGTATATACTATACAAATTAAGGAATAAATAAATAGGTGTATAATAATTTTAAAATAAAATAAATATATAATATAATTTTTTTATGTTCTAATACTAATATTTACTTATACACTGTACCAACACATTGAATTTAACCGATACTAATCCATCGCAATGTGTTGCTTTCACCGACAAATAGATAGCAAAAAAAAAAAATAAATTAATATTTTATTTTCTATTATTCTTTTTTCTCTTTATTATTTTTCTGTATATTAATTATTAATAATAAAATAATAACAAGTGTGTGTGAGTGAAATATAAAATATATAAATAATGTGCGCTACATGTGCTAATATTTAATAAAATATACAATAAAAAATTTTGACTATAAAAATATTTAACTTAATAATTGACAAATATTCAGTTAAGTATGTATACATATATGTATATACAGGGTGTCCCCAATTTAAATGGCAAAACTTCAAAAGCGTGTAGGGGACCGAAAAACTAAGATAAGAAGTCCTTTAGAGGTTTGCTCGTTTTTGCTCCATTTTAGAGAAAATCGCAAAAATTCAATCTCTTATTGTCAGTTGCTCTCTTGAGTTGATTGGCCGAATAAACTTTCTGCTTCAAGGTTCCTTACATATGTAAACACTTGATGTTATCCTTTACATTCTTTTGTTTGTTTACATTCTTGCTTTCTTCTATGAGTCCTTAATCAGTCTTTAGTGCGTTACTCAGATATTTTGAAGTGAATAACATCAGCCACAATGCCGCATACATATTCTAATGTTGAATACGCTGACATAGTTTTCGTGTACGGTTTCTGCAACGGTAATGCTTTAGAGGCGGTGCGAGAGTATGCGCGCCGATTTCCAAACAAAAGAGTATCTAATCGACGAGTCTTTTCGTTGACTTTTAATAGACTACGAGAGATGGGTCATTTTCACTTCGTAAAGAAGGCAACCGATTCCAGGCAGCGTTAGGAGCAGATTTTCGGAGAAGAAATTGTATCCAACGCCACTTTGATAACAATCCTGAGACTAGCGTCCGAAGAGCATCAGCTGCATTAGGAATACCGCGGCAGATAATATGGCGAACTTTGAAAGGTGATAATCGCTACCCGTACCATCTTCAAAAGGTGCAGAATTTATTACCTCAAGATTATGTCAAGAGATTGAATTTTAGTAATTGGTTTCTTGAAACAATTCACAATGACAATTTATTTCTAGTAATTGGCTTGAAACAATTCACAATGACAATTTATTTCCATTAAAAATAATATGGACCGATGAAGCTATCTTTACAAGAAGAGGAATTCTTAACCAAAGAAATTATCAAGTATGGGCTCATGAAAATCCCAGAGCTATTAGAGAATACAGGTTCCAGCATGAATTTGCTATAAACGTTTGGCTCGGAATTTGGAACGGATTGCTGGTGGGACTCAATGGAATCACATTTACGTATTTTTTAGAGAACGACTTTTCTAATTATTTAGAGGACATTCCCTTACAGCAGCGGATTGAAATGTGGTTTCAGCTCGATGGATGTCCAGCTCATTATAGCAGAGCTGCTCGATCTTGGCTGGACATAAATTATCCACAACGATGGATTGGACGTGGAGGAATAGTACCTTGGCCACCCCGATCACCTGATATGACACCCATGGACTTCTTCGTATGGGGTACCTTGAAGCAGGAAGTTTATTCGGTGCCAATCAATTCAAGAGAGCAATTAAGAGACCGAATCATAGATGCAGTGCACCAAATATCACTAGAACAATGTCCAGCTGCAATTAATGAGATCAGTGCTAAATGTAATGCTTGAATTGCTGCAAGAGGGCAACATTTTGAACAATATCTGCATTAAATAGATGATAAGATAAATAAAATGTAAATAAATAAGTAAAAAAACGAAAACATGTTTTGTTTCTTTTTTTGTGATTTTCTCCAAAATGGAGCAAACACGAGCAAATCTCTAAAGGACTTTCTGTCTTAGCTTTTCGATCCCCTACACGTTCCTGAAGTTTTGCCATTTAAATTAGGGACACCCTGTATATATAATGCGATATAAGTAAATAATATTGTTAAGAAATTTGAGCTTGTTGCTATAATATAATAATCTAATGATGGATAATAATTAAATACGATCTTAATTAACAGTTTTATTGATAAGATATTTGAATAAACTATAACATTTTAATTATCCTTTATTTTGTCAAACGTGTTATATAAATTTATAGTTTCTTAAAATTTTTATATTTACACACGTTATATTTCATGTATCGACCATTATACGAAGTATAGACAAATACGAAAAAGAAGTCTTCAAAATATTTACTAAAGTTGACAAATTTACCTCAATGAAATTCCCAGCTTGAAACATGGCTGGAGCTTGTGTTTGCATAAAGATGAAGACTAAATTTTTCGATAGTGCGATAGGAAATTCATACCATGCACTTTGATAAATAGAGTAGCCTACGTCCATTAAGCTGACACAGCCACTTTAGCACAATCAAATAAAACTTATATAGAAATTTAGTGCTCTTTTTTTGCTAATTTGTTGCTCAATTCCCGATTTTGTTGCTCCAGCCGATTCGGAGAAAATAGTGGCTGTGCTAACTTAAGGTTAAAGTTAGCACAGCCATTAAAAAAAAAAATTTTTAATATAAAATCACGACATATTTTTTTAGTGCTAATTTGTTGCTAATTAGTTGTTCTATTCCCGATTTTGTTGCTCCATTTTTAAACTCCGAAAACCATCCCCAAAGCTACCTCTCGCTAACAAAACATTCTGAAATTGTCAATTAATCAGATATTCCGGTTGATTACGTTTCTCTGATTTTGTTGCTCGCGATTTGCAATGAATCCGATTTTGTTGCTTCAGCCTTTTGCAAGCATGATATCAATTCATGACAAGAAATTTTTTACACACTTGTCCTTTACAAATGTGATGTCTATTACAGATAAAATTTATTTTATAAACATATTAGAAAGTGAACTGTTCAAGATTGAAACATTTAATTTAATCGATAAATTCAAACTGTAAATTCAACCGACAAATCTGAACGGTAAGAGTCGCAATCAAAACACGAGCGAGAATAAACGTCGCGATCAGCCGATCGGCGCGTGATCGCGTGATCAAAACAAAGAAAAAGTGTGACAAACACCTCGATTCTCGAACATTCGGTGCCGAAAATCTCCTATTATGGAAATCGGTTGACCGCGACTCAGTTCCGTCGTTATTTAGTCTGCCTACGACAACGATTCGAGCTGGTCGATAGCAATCGATCATAGTTTCGAATATCATCATTTCTCGTATGATATTCTTTCGTGTCTTATTCTCGTTTGTGTCGCGTACGCAGTAGGCTTACTCTTCTCAAATTCGGTCCGAATTGTCTCGCCATACAATTGCATTCATATTCTCGCGGCAGTCAATTCGGTCATATCTCAAACTGTATTCTTCAATTCAGTTAGTGCTAAGACATTGTGAACGTTAATTCTGTGGAGTCCGAGAGTGTCCGGTTCGATACCGGAAATAAATTCTCTGATCGCCTCAACGAGAAAGCGATCACCCGTCTTATTAGCGACGGCCTGTGTAACGGTGCGCTGTCCGTCCAGTCGTACCGCTGTCGTTCGAGCTCTCCTCGATCAGTGCTCGGAAATGACATTCATTTCAGAAAGTTTAGCGCAACTCTTGCGCGTAAAACGCATTCGCATGCCGATCTCCGTTTCAGCTGTCGGCAGAATTCACGCGGGGACATTTCAACACGCGACTCAAATATTCATTTCTCCTCGCGATTTAATTCTCAACGGTGTTCGAAAAGGAAGCGTCGGACAACCAATCGCTCAGAATT